TGAATTTCTCAAAAATTATTAGTTAGCTAGAAAGCCATTGACTTTCTAAAACTTTAAACTAAACTAAACTCTAAAACTAAAAACTTTTTGTCTCGATATTTTTTTCGTAAAACGCAGTTTTTTGGAAAATGGCGAATCACGATATGTATTCGATCACATTTTGACAAAAAAGTTTTCATTTTTTTTATGGCGACTACGATTAAATTAAATAAATCATAAAATTAACGTTTTTAGTTCTTAGTAAATCTAGTTTGTGCAAAAATCCAGTATAGCGTCCATAAGAAAATCAAAAGTAGGTTAGGAAAGCATACGGATCCAGGAGGCCTAGAAAATATTTTAACCTTTTAATATATATAGCATATGGCCTTACGTATCCGTATCGATTTGCGTTACTCTACTTTCAATAATAAAAAAAGATATGGAAGAAAGATGAAAAGCCAAGTTTTCAGTTTATTCAGGATATTTCAGGAACGACGCAACTTATCTTCAATTTATTTTCATAATCCGAAATCACTTGATAACTTTCCTGTAATTTAACCGACTATGTATATCTTCTAGTTTAGGAGATACTTATAGTGTACACCTTAAAAGTGACCACTCTGTACAGTTATACAGTGTGTCCTGGTGATGAGACATTAGACATATTTCAGAAACTACTTCGATTTTAATTTTGAAAATTTGGGCAATAGTGTTTTCGGGCATGCCATTCATAACTAAATTAATGGCGTCCATCTAACGCTTCCGGTTATACCGGAAGTTGTTTAGGGAATATTTTATAAAGTGACCCTCAAACACGTAGAACCGAAGATGCAATAATATATAAGGTGTCCCATTTAAAATAACGAAGAAGACGTCAACTTCCGGTATAACCAGAAGTAGTATCTGACTCGTCAGTGTGGGACACCCTGTATAAAAAAGTTTTTTAGATAAGTTAAAAGGTATATTATAAGATATAAGTTTAAAGATAACTATTAAGGAACAGCTTACTTAGGGTCATACTGTATATTGTCCGTATGGTACTTAATGTTCTCAGACACTACTTGATTAGATGTTTATGTCTATTATTACCAAAATTAATGTAATTAATCCTGTATTATTTACGGACAGAGCATGGCAGATTTTACAGTTTAATAAATAAAGTAAATAACTTTCCATTTCTTTCCACATAATTGACAATATGTTTTTGTGTAGATTTCTAATTGGTGTCATCTTTCTTTTCTTTGAAAGTGAATATTAAATTAGTAAAAATCAATATGATGTTAAATAAAACATTCGTAGTTGCATTTGAAAATAAAATAAAACATTTCCATTCTGGGGAAACTTATTTTCATAAATTATTATTTTGTTATACATCGTAGTCCATTTAAAAGTGTATTAAGGGAACATTGCGAATTTAAACAATACCGATTTAAAACAATGCTCATTTAGAATGAATGTTTTGGCTTACTTTTTCGCTTGGTTGTATTATGATCATATTATATTACCATACAATACGCAGTAATTCATTATTTTATTAAATTTATGTATAAAACCACTGCCAGAGGTAAAAGTTGAGAGAAAAATATCCTTGTTTCAAAGATTAACACAGAAATTAAAGGTGACTGCGTGTTGCTGATCTTTATCTTTTATTTTTTATGGGTAAGGTCAAAGATGGTAACGAAACAACATTTCAGATTTCTTTTTAAATTCATTTTGGTTTGAATTCCATTTGAAATTATTAAAGAAAAAGTTCTAATAACACAGGCACACAAAAGAAAGTCCAAACCTAACGTATCGTTTCTGAAGGAATTCAATGCGCTGAAGAAGATCTTGTAATCAAAATTCATGACTTCCCGATGAATTTCGGGGAAAAGTGAAATTTTTGGGGTAAAACGCCCAAATATTGGTATAATTGTTTTTTTCGTAAAATTTGACCAAATATATTATTTTCGTAATATTTTAACCAGTTTTGACCCAAATTTGGGCCAGTTTTTACCCAAATAGTGGATTTTCTGAGAAATATCGAGATAATGGGTAAATTTTATTAATAGCATCTTGTTCAACGCTTCAAAATAATACGGCAATGATATATTTGGACAAAATTTAAGAAAAAATCAGTTTTGACACATATTTGGGCCAGTTTTTACCCAAACATTTTACTTTTCTCCGAAATTCTTCGGCAAGTCATTAATTTTGACTGCACGATCCAATTCCTTCAGAAATGATATGTGGGTCTCTTGAGTTTGGACTTTTTTTTGTGGGCCTGTGTAATCAGAACTTAACCTCGAGAATGTAGGGTAGGAGTGTGCATATAGTACAGCCATTGAAGATGAAAATCAGCTGTAACCTCCGAATTCTTTGAAACTGCATGGATTTGCATGAACATTTAGAATAAGGCTCATCTTAGGCTCAAGTTAAAAAGTGACATAAGCCCGATTGACGCTTTTTATTTTTTAGGGGTAAAAACTACCCCTAAGTGAAAAAAATTAAAAATTAAGTTTAAAACATTTTATCGATAAAAATTTTGTTCAAGGACAAAGATTAAATAATGTTCCATGTTCTCGAACATGATTTATGATATGATTTGCTCTTTTCGACCCTTTATTATACCCTTAAACACTACCCTATGCAAAAAATAATGATAAAAAATTACTTTTTAAAGATTTTGAATCATTAAATCGTGCAATTATTTAAAATAAAAGTTACCTTATAGCTAATAAAATAATTTTTGCAACCCCTAAAAACCACCCCTGCATTGACAAAAATGATAAAAAATTACTTTTTAAAAGCTTGTTTTAACGGTGCAATTATTTAAAACAAAAATTTTGCTTCGAAAAAATGTCATTGGTTTTTTACCATAACTCGGTTAATTTTGAAGCTATGGTATCCTACAAAAAAGCATTTTAAAGATAATTTCAAGAGCTATAAGATCGTTTGCATATAAAACCTTCGTTTTTTAAAGGGAAAGGATCGAAGGGCTCGAGACAAGTCGTTTTTTCACTAAAATGGATATTTCAAGCGGCGATATCTCCTTTATTTTTTATGCTATAGGAATAAAAAGAAACAAAATATTTGTTGAAAAAAAAAATTATTTTTTTGTTGTCTATCATTTTTTACGTATTTTTAATAGTTTCAGAGTTATTATATAAATAAGGCAATTTTTTTTAATAATGAAAAATACGTTTTCAACTTTTACCGTACATTATTCAAAAAATGCTCATTCGAAACCGGTCTAACTTCAGGATCGTATGAAAAACAGTAAAACAAAACTAATTGTAAAGGGTTATTAATTTTAATTCTGATGGAAATGGTACAGCGTTTACTGCTCATTTTTCCGTAAAAAATCCATCTGTTTTTGATGATAACTCCTTCAATTTTGCTCTAACTTTTATAAGCTCATTTTGAAGGTGTTTTTGAGTACTACAAAAAAACTCGTGGAGCGTTATACACGTAAAATTAATCCTTTTTCCGTTATTTGACGTTGAATACATCGATTCGAGTATTCCTCCCTAAACAAGTCTCCTTCCACTAACCATATTTCGCTTTGTATAGGACGTACAACACTTTTTAACGATTTTCTTTGTTCATTTATAAGCTACATTTTTGTTCATTACACTTTTTTAATAAAATGCGTAGTTTTTGAGTTATTCGCGGAAAATACTTTGAAAAAGTGTTTTTTTTTCACTCAAAATTACAAGTTTTCAATCGTGAATAACCAAAAAACTATTTGATTTGACTATTGATTTCTCGAAAAAATTCTTCGAATATTTTTTGCTCAAAATTTGATTCTCTATCGATTTCCAGTGTTATTTTTGAAAAACCCTCAACAGGGTGGAAGCGTCAATCGGAGCTATGTCACTAATGTTCATTGACCTTTTCTCTATCTGCCAAATTTCAAGTCGATCGGTTCAGTTTCTAAGAATTCGGAGGTGAAAAGTTTCAACGACTGCACTAATATCATCAAAAGTCGTATCAGTTTTGTCAAAGATTTTTGTTTATAGAATACAAAAGAAAGCTAAAGTTAAATAATTATACTGGGCGATTACCGACACCGAATACTAAATACTAATACCTTTAATTAGTTACATCATTTCCCCAAGTTTCGTCGGTCTACGTCAAACATCTTCAGAGATAATTGAAAAAATGTGATATTCAAGAACTTTAACACCCTCTATATTGGAAACCAGTAACTTAGGGCTCTGGTTTATTAAGGCTTTTGGGCCTAAAATGGCCCGAGGAATGAGCCCCTTAATTTATGACATAGACTTCATAGATTCACTCGTATAAATATTGAACGAGAATGTAAAATAAAATAAAAAATAAATATATGATTATGTACATCATCACCTACATTTTTATTATCAGAATAAGTTTTGGAGTCTGTGGTAACATAAGTGAAAAACAAACACCGTGCTTGCCATTTTTCTGATTATCAGAGCAAAACACAAGTCTAATAACAATCATTAACTGCGGCCAAATAATTATTTTCCGATATCCAGTCTTACACTCATTACGTAAATGCTCGTATACAAACAATAATTATACCGCAGCATCCCATCCTACAAAAAAAGCAATAGTAAAGTCAAACGCGGTGACTGTCAGTTGTTATGCCCGTACGGGGAGCGAAGACCAAGAAGGACTAAGTGAAAGTGGTAAGAGTGTGAAAGTTAACTCTCTAGCCATGGCCGCCTCGGTGCATCAGTCGGCCTCAGATGTCCAGCCGTGCCTGTGATGTGTCTGGGTGATTTGTGTTTTGTTTTCCTAGTTTTTTGTTCGCCAGCCACTTGACAGAGGACACCCTGGATGTAAACGATTACCAACCCCTCCTAACAACTTGTAAATAGGAACTTTGTGATATTAGGCTAGGTTAATCCATATCCCACAACAAACTACAGGAAAAAAGAACACTCGCTTAGACCAAAACCTCAGGACCGTGATTTGAAAGCTGTGCCTTAGTTGTAATGTGCAAACGTTAAATATAATTAAAATTGGATTTAGCAACTAGATGGGACTTTGTCATAATGAACAAAATACATTCGGGCATTCTAGCTATAGTTTTGAGCATATTTTTGATACAGGCAACAGATCCACCATTCGAGAACCCATCGGGGCATTTTCTACAATATTTTCCAGTGAAAATTGTCACTCATGATGAAGTGACTTTACCATCTCCTACTGAACAGTACCTTAGAGATCGAAGCATCACCGATCGTGAAACAAACAAAGACGATTTGAAACATTTTCACAGTTACCTAAGCCAGTTGCAGGATGACTCACAAAATTCCACGAATTCTGGTCAAGGAACCGTTAATTTGCCTGAAGAGCACGGTGCCATTAGCAAGTTATTACACAAGCAGAAGTCACCGTACGAGAAATTACTAGAAAAGGATTTTATAAAACCGTTATTGAAGTTATACGAAAGCCAAATCCATCAAAAGCCCGATTATGTAATTGGAAATGCCACCGCGCAATCCAGAATTTCCAAAGAAGATTATGTGGACGATCTGAAAGTCTTGTCCAAGGAAGAACTTGATATGCTGATTCACGGAAGTGAAAAGTACCAACAGAACGAATATGACGACGAGGATAAAAATCAAGATTTAACCCAGGACCAGAGTTTTCAGGAAAATGTGCAGTTATCAAGAAGAGATGACACCTTAGTTGAAAATAATGACAAAGAACACATAGGCGAAATTTTACCGTCAGATTTTAATGATAACCAAAGCAATGAAAGAACCCTACACACTCAACACAGGTTTTCTCCAGTACGTAGGAGGATATATCATCAAAATTGGTACAATCCGCGCCATACAAACTATAGAATGCGGAAATCGTATGAGTACGATGAGGGCTTTAAGCCCTCCCATCCCTATACCGCTGAGAACACTGAGGCCCCACGTTTGCGATCCCCTATATCTTTCCCCGGGGAAAGATTCCGACCGGAATACGAACCTACAGCTATCTCCAATGAAGGAATAGACAACGCAGGATATCCTTCCGACCAAATTAACAAATATAATCGTCCAGAGAGCTATGACTCTTCTTCAAGTCCTAAGGATGAAGCTAGGACTGCCTATTCGCGCCCTTCCAGGTTGAATTTCCCTCCAAGTGAGGTGAACGGGTTCAGGATCCCACGCAGGTTCAGGGGGTTCAGGGATCCGTACTCGGAAGGGTTCCAACCCACGGCCCGCGAGCCGTATTTTGATCCGTCTTCGCGGTTTCATTCGAGTTGGCCCTCGAGACGGCCCCGGGTGATTTTTCCCACGGATTTGGTGGCGTTCAGGGATCCGGTGCAGAATGGCAATCAAGATCAGGAGCCGGAGTGGTTGGCGGGAGATAACAGCTTGCAGGATATACAGGAGCAGGATACCAGAGATAAAGGTAATTGCATGGGGCTTATTTCCGGTACCGATAAAATGTGAGGGTGATACAATGGATTAGATTTGGTGTTCATGAAGTTGTTACGTAATCATGAAGGGTTCGTCCTTTTGCAAAAAATAATAAAACAGTTTCTGTGAAGTACACCCGAAAACTAGTAATTTCAGGAACAAACTCAAAAGAATTTATAAACTTGGAGGTAACGTTAAAAAATAATCACATTACTTATTTTAGAGTAATAATATTATTTCTTATTACATTTTGATTCCTGAAAAAATGAAAAATGAGTATTTTCCCAAATTTTTTGTTCTTTGAAAATATTACAAAAATTATATAGCAATACAGTTGCAGGCAGATGTTGCATTTTTTCAATTTTGAATTTGATGAAAATATTTTGAATACTACTTTTTACAAAATATTTCACTGCGGTCTAAAATTTGTATTTCCCTATTTTTGACTTTGAAAAACCATCACCAACTTCTTTTTCTCTTGTGGGCATTATATTGGATTATATTAAAGAAAGTCTGTAATGACTTGAAAAATAATGAAAATTGTGTACACCCATTTAACCGTTTTAGCCACACTCTACAGGTTATTAATTAAGCGCGTTGGCAAACCTTAAGAGACAATTATTTGAGTAATTTTGATTAAAAAAAAGTTGTTATAAACATGGATGCGCAAATAGGTAGTTTTCGAGACGAGACGTCTTGAAATTTGAAAGATTTCACATTTTTTAAGACATAATAAGCAGAATAATTAAACTTGGGCAAATGATTTATCTAATTAAATATATTAGTCCAACCAAGTCACACCTGGAGAAAAAAAAATTATTACCTTGACTTTTATAAGCGGAAATGGTAAAAGGGCTTATAATAAACCTAAAAAAAATAAATGCGTGAGCAGGGGCGGCGGAGGGTTGATTTGGGGGGTTAAAAAGTTATGAAAAGTTGTATCATTGGGATTTCTGGCGTCAAACAAAAAAGTATCTAATACAAAAGTTGTAGATCACGCAAAAATCTACAACTTTTGTAGAGACACTTTTTAACATAACCTCAAAATTTCCGATAAAAATGCGAAAAACTGTTTTTTTTTTCTGATTTTTCGTTTTTTATTTCTCATTTCCGCAAAAATAATTTAATTTTGACGAAACTTGGTGAAAGTATACCTTACTCTGTCTTATATAACCTCAAATTTTTTTAGATAAAAAGATCAAGAAGTTTCTGAGATATTAATTTTTTCGGCCTGAAACACTTTTTTTTCAAAGAAAAATTTTACTTAAAAAAATCATCGTACAGAGTTCTGCCGGTTATCTTTTTTTTTTCATTTTGACATATACTTTTTGGTGAAATAAAAAAAATTGTAATCAGTTCAAAAACATGCTCAAAAATGCAAAAAAAAAATAAAAAATTACTTGCAACAGTGAATATTTCAGTTATTGTTGATAATTTGTTTAAATTAAAAAACATTCAAAAACTGATTACACCATTCAATTCTACGGAAAAAAAAAAAGAAAAAATCGTGTCCATTGTTTGACCCAAAACTTTATTTTTGTACAGTATTGCTATAAACATCTAAGTCGAATTACAAATGATAAATTATTATTAAAGTATTAACTGCAAAGCTACTGTTGACGCGAAATCCGAAAACCCGAAATTTTGCAAAATTGTTTTATTTTTTTTCTGGCTTTATTTGAAAACAAATTTGAAAAAAATTGCATATTTAATTTCCACTTTTTTCGCTCTATCCAATGGCGTCAACATTTTTGCAATCCGACGTTTCGTCTTCGAGGGGCCATCATCAGATTAATTTTTTAAATATATCGCTGCTATTTTTAAGACAAAATCTAGTCATTTTTAATTCTGTGTTAGATGGTATTACTATTGTAATCGCTTAAAAATGTTTTTAGATCGTTAAAAATTTTTCCAGAGTACGGCTCTAATTTCCTTGGGCTAATTGCAATAATATAAAGTGAATGTCCGAACACTTTTATTGGAGCTTATTTTTATAATATAATCCATATCTGACAACCTTAATATACTTATTTTTTTAAATAAAACAAATTCAGTAGAAGAATGATTCCAAATTTTAAAAGTTTCCGTTTTCAGCTTTTTATTATTGATCTCTTTTACACAAGAAAATGTAAACAGCAAAAAAGAAGGGATAATAGAGCAATTTAAGTAGTACTTACTTAAATTTCAAATATAATAGTTTTGAATAAAATGTTCCGATGTGAAATGTGAATAACGAATGTAATGAGTACAGGTTTGATGCAAAAATTGGTAGGTACCACATTTCTTAAACGCTTTTTCATCAGGCTTGAATGTGCGTATTTTATTTGTCGTTATAATTTTCATATTGGTAGTAAACACATGTAATATGCATGCAGACTGGATTACTTCACTTAATTTCACATTACAAAGCGCTTGACCTGTAACTGCAATTACTCGTAATTATTTGATTGCTGCAATTAAGGATTTACACATATCTGAAATAATTACGTTACGATTTGTAACGAATGTATTACTGTTACTAAAATATATTCGCACATTTTAATTTTTGCAAAAATGAAAACTAAAAAATCGGTTTATTATTTGTTCGTTTTAAATCACATGGTTGAAATTTAATTGTCATTTGTTAATTGGTAATATTAGAAAAATAAATATAGTACTTAATATGACATTGATGACTTACTTCGTAGTAATTTAAAGAATTTAGATAAGTTTAAAGAAATAAATGAAATAAATACGTTTTATTCATGAAATATATTTCATATTTCTTGGATGAATTTAACTTTTCTAACTGGCTTAGATATCGGGATACAGTGTTTTTCAAATCTACATCAAATATCGCTGAAGGAAATATTAAAATAAATGAACACTGGAACCAAATTAACAAAAAAGTAAGGAATACAAATGATACATACAGTATTTCGTAAAAGCAAATATTTAGAGAGAACAATTACTAAGGGGTTACATGAACTTCGAAGGTTAAAAAAGCATATTTTTCTATTTTTTTTTAAATATAATAAAATAATTATTTTATTAAAACTTTCAATCATATAAAAGAATTTAAACAATATTTTACAAAATTTTTATTTAAAAATTTTGAAAATATTGTTCAGGATAACTCATGATAGCTTTATCATAATATCAAATATTTTCTATTAGTAGGTGAGTATAGTATTAAAAAAAAATTGAAATTTGAATTTTTGGCAGAGAGCAAGCAGCTGCTTCGATATATCGATATATCTGCAATGTTCCCGGCCGGCTGAGTCTAATGAGAGGAATTTCCAATTCTCCTATAGTTTTACTCCGATTGACATGAAACTTTGGAAAATATTTTTGACATGTTTTAGATAAAAAAAAATAAAAAAATGGATTTTTTTAAATTTCCAAACCCATGTAACCCCTTGAAATAATGAAAGCTTTGACATTTTACAGAATGTAACTAAAGATTATTAAGAAGTTCTATATGACTAAAGAACTGATTGTATTGTTTTTGTAAAATGCAAATTTGGTGAGTTATTTAAGCCGCAGGTATTATACAGTGCTTTCGAAAAGTAACGATTAAATTCATTATTTTTTAAATTGAGAAGTTTTCGAAAAAATCCCCTGGCACGTCGATTTTGTTTTTAAAAGAGTCACTTTTTGACATACGACCTATATTTGTGACGTCATCGTTGTTCCAGATATGACGTCATCGACAATTTTTTTAAATAGCAACACCCAATTTTGACCATGCTATTTGAAAAAGCGTGTCATTCTACATACACATCATGAAAATTTATGGAGTTACATAACAAAGATTTCAAGAAAATAATGTTTGAAGATTTTAAAATTTAATTTTCACAATACTGAAAATGATAATGATTATGTAAAAATGGACTAAATGGTGCACCTCCCCATTATGCATCATCTGTCCGTGCTTATTTAGATGAGCTGTTCCCGAATCGTTGGATAGGGAGAAGAGGGCCGATTGAGTGGCCAGCCAGATCGCCTGATTTGGCACCCCTAGATTATTTCTTGTGGGGATACTTAAAAAGCAAAATATACATTACTAGACCGGTTAATTTAGAAGATTTAAAAGCAAGAATTCGGCACGAGATACATCGTATACCTCCTGAAGTTATTGATAATGTCCAAAAAGAATTTATTAATCGTCTTGGCTACTGTCAGGCAGCCAACGGTGCACAATTTGAACATTTAATTTAGTCGATTTTTACATAATCATTATCATTTTCAGTATTGTGAAAATTAAATTTTAAAATTTTCAATTTTCTTGAAATTTTTGTTATGTAACACCATAATTTTTCATGATCTGTGTATGTAGATTGACACGCTCTTTCAAATGGCATGGTCAAAATTGGGGGTTGCTATTTAAAAAAATTGTCGATGACGTCATATCTCGAACAACGATGACGTCACAATTATGGGTCGGATGTCAAAAAGTGCCTTTTTTAAAAACAAAATCGACGTGCGAGAGGATTTTTTCGAAAACTTCTCAATTTAAAATATAATGAATTTATTCGTTAAATTTCGAAGGCACTGTATATTTAAATTGTAAATTAATGATGATCGGAATGGACATTTCATATTTGACCCAAAATGTACCTGTAATATGAAATATTTATTCTACAACTCAGAATTTTGAAACTGCAACTGATTGGATCGATGATTCAGGTGTTGAATAAATTTTTTCTGAATTTTCTGGATGCAATCAATATATTATTATGTATCTGACATATTGAGGATTTCGAACCAAACTTGCACATTCAAGACGTGATCTGATAAAAGGGATATTAGTCCAAGTATTATAGAGAAATGCTTACAGAAATTATTACCTGGACAAAAAAAATATGACCGTATAGAAAATTAAATTTTAAATTGAGTTTCTTGTTCTTTAAACTCGATCCAATATGGCGAACATGGTTAAAAAAAATCGCAAAGTTGAAAAAAACGGTTTTTCTAAAATAACTAAAAAAATATAGCACGGATTGAAAAATT